TTTAAAGCATTCATTAATGTTTGTGAATGTTATTTAATACAAACAAATATACAAAAAAAAAATAATAATTTTTTCATTGCGCATTAAATAATTTTAACAGATTGAACTTTGAAATTAACCCTAAGAAGAATAATTGCCATATAACTATTGTTTATTGTTAGGTCATGTTATCTAACAAATAAAATCTTATTGTAAAGTGTTTTTAATACTACAGTTTCCATCTATTTGATATACACTTAATATATGTAATCTTATCTAAATTTATTATAAAAGCTGAGGTTTGTTATTTACTGAAAAGTGATATTTTAGCTGGTGTCAATGATCTAATGTTGCATTTGGTCAGACTCAGCCCATTGCTTTACTGAAGTATATTATATTTTCCTTTTACAGCTGCAGACTGAGGAAGATCCTGAAACACACCAGCAAACCCTAAAACAGACAACAGTTTACAGATGTTTTTCAGCGGCAGCAGAACTATGACTAAACTTTTGGGTGAAACTTGTTTACATTTTTCATACTTTTATTACTTGTGGAAAAACTTGAAACAATTTTAAATAAGTATAAAGAATGGCATTGGTTTTGTACATTTAATTTTTGTTTAACGTTATTAATAAAAATGTTGTTCAATTAGCATGTTTTTGTGTTTTGCTTTGGTACCGAAATTGGTACAGAGAACCGTGGATTTTCACTGGTATTGGTACCGAATACTGAAATTTTGGTACCGTGACAACACTAGTATCAAGGCAATTCGGTCGGTGCCTAAAAGTATCGAACTCGATACCCAGCCCTAATCCTTGGCTATGCATCAAGATGCGTATCGCATCGGCCTCAGTTATGGAGCTGCACATTCCTAAGATAAAAATATAAACAACAAATGTAACAAAATAAACATGCAACAAAAATGACAGCAGTGAGAAAGCAGCAGTTAAACAAGCATCTGATCATTGCAATAGGGCCTTTCGCACCGCTTTAGTTCCAGAACTAAATGTACAGTACTAAAGTACTGGGACGAT